ATGTTTATGACAGATTGCCTGCTTGAGTGTATTAACATGTAAATACCAGAGCTTCAGATACAAGCAAGTCAAGGATAGTGTTTGTTGTTTGTTGTTTAACGCTGCACTCCGCAATATTCCAGCTATATGACGGCGGTCTGTAAATAATCGAGTCTGGACCAGACAATCTGGTGATTGATATCATGAGCATCGATCCACGCAATTGGGATACGATGACATGCATCAACCAAGTCAGCGAGCCTGACCACCCAATCCCGTAAGTCGCCTCTTACGACAAGCATAGTCGTCTTTTATGGCAAACATGGGTTGCTGAAGACCTATTTTACCCCGGATCTTCACAGGTCTATTCACTCATTGAATAATTTAGTAAGTCTTATTGATAAGGCAACTCTGCATTTGAAGTTTGATGTGCAAAAACAACAGTCTGTCTATCAAGCAACGCATCAGTTGTCAACAACAATATGTCAGTCAGCATCTCAGTACCTTCCAATGTATGTCACCAACTGTTGCCATATGTATAACTTATTAACATAATGCAGATTGTAATTGGTCAATTATGAGTTGTATTCATATAGGTCTTCATGTGATAATCCCAGTCCTTGGCGCAGTCATCCATCACTTCAGATACACTTTGTCGCACCAGTGTCTTCTATGAGGATATAAACTCCAGTTATAATCGATTATGACTGATTTGATTTGATTTGATTGACAGCTATATGACAGCGGTCTGTAAATAATCGAGTCTGGACCAGACAATCCAGTAACTGACATCATGAGCATAGATCCACGCAATTGGGATCAATGACATGCATCAACCAAGTCAGCGAGCCTGACCACCCAATCCCGTAAGTCGCCTCTTACGACAAGCATAGTCGTCTTTTATGGCAAACATGGGTTGCTGAAGACCTATTTTACCCCGGATCTTCACAGGTCTATTCACTCATTGAATAATTTAGTAAGTCTTATTGATAAGGCAACTCTGCATTTGAAGTTTGATGTGCAAAAACAACAGTCTGTCTATCAAGCAACGCATCAGTTGTCAACAACAATATGTCAGTCAGCATCTCAGTACCTTCCAATGTATGTCACCAACTGTTGCCATATGTATAACTTATTAACGTAATGCAGATTGTAATTGGTCAATTATGAGTTGTATTCATATAGGTCTTCATGATGTGATACTCCCAGTCCTTGGCGCAGTCATCCATCACTTCAGATACACTTTGTCGCACCAGTGTCTTCTATGAGGATATAAACTCCAGTTATAATCGATTATGACTGATTTGATTTGTTTGTTTGTTGTTTAATGCCTCACACAGCAATATTCCAGCTATATGACAGCGGTCTGTAAATAATCGAGTCTGGATCAGGCAATCCAGTAATTGACATCATGAGCATAGATCCACGCAATTGGGATACAATGACATGCATCAACCAAGTCAGTGAGCCTGACCACCCGATCCCGTTTGTCATCTCTTATAACAAGCATAGTCGCCTCTTACGGCAAGCTAGGGTTACTGAAGACGTATTCTAACGCAGGTCTTCACGGGTCGACTGATCGGAGAGCTCAGATTTTAGGTATGTGGCAGGATCTATTTCTAGCTGTCACATATATCTATGCTGACACGTCTGACTAGGTGCACATATTGCAGGTTGTGAGGGATTTGTCCAAACTAAGTGCATTTAGCAGGCAAATTAGGGAACGTTTGTGACACATTACAACATACTATGTTACTGTTAAGATTTGTAACATTCTTAAGTTAACATATTTCCCTTGGCATGCTAGTCTGAATTATTTAAGATCATTTTGTTAATTTTTGTCTTTTGACAAATACTGAGATCGATATTGTATTCAGACTGTGAACATTAATTAGGTGATCACCACGATCACAGATACTGGTACACACATTAGCTGAGGCGATTTACATGGGGTAGAACAGAATCAAATACACTTCTTTCTTTCAACTTATCTTTAGTGCCTGTCTCTTCCGCACTAAGTTTATTTCTGAGTATAAGGCGAAATAATCTGGACAAAATCGTTTTGTTATTAAAGCTTTACTATGATAAAAGAAGTACTTCACTAATTTTACATCATTAAGTATTTGTATTATATAGTGACTGGTTCTGTGTAAACGAGTAACATTGCGAAAAATATACTTTTCGAGATGCAAATAATTGTGACAAAACCATTTCCATAATCATAAGAATCATTTACAGGTTTGCAGATTCACAAGGAATAATGCTAAATTCAGATAAAACAAATGTCTTAGTATTTGTTGTTGTAATGATCTGTTAATGAGAATGGTTCTATCAAGGTTAACTTGTTCCAACCACCAACTCCTATAGATATCTTGGCGCACGTGAAGATCCGGGTGGAATAGGTCTTCAGAAACCCATGCTTGCAGTAAAAGGCGATTGTACTTGTCGTAAGAGGCGACTTACGGGATCGGGTGGTCAGGCTCGCTGACTTGGTTGATGCATGTCATCGTATCCCAGTTGCATGGATCGATGCTCTTGATGTGAATCACTGGATTGTCTGGTCCAGACTCGATTATTTACAGACCGCCGTCATATGGTTGGAATATTGCTGAGTGTGGCGTTAAACAACAATAAAACAAACATGAAGATATCTTGGGGCCTTGGACAATTGCCACCTAGGACAATTAGGCAATTGTTCTGCTCCCAGATATCGTGGCTTTATCTTCTCACAAGCATCAAGCATGAAGCAGTGTGTTTCAGATCTAGCATCAAGAGTTAAACAAGCTGTTACGGAAATTGTTCATCTACCGATTATTGTTTTGTCGATACTCAGATTCAACCTGTTCTTTATATGGAGCGGATATATGGGGTGTTGCCAAAGCATAGAACATATTATGGCTTGTAAGATATTTCTTTATGTTTGTTTGCTAACTCCAAATGCTATTGTGTATGGCGAATACGGTCGCTGCCCACTCTGTGTAAATGCTATGTGTCGTTCTGCAAAGTATTGGCTGAAACTGACTGACATGGATGAAGATAGGATACCAAATCTTATAATAAAGAACGATATTTTAGAACGATAAGTGTTTCCATCATAACTATGCTCCTTGTATTTGTTCCATATTTTATTCTCACAGATTTGGAGTAGTTTAGCTTAGTCAAGCTGTTCGCGATAAACCATTTTTTATTATATGTCAGTTTTTAACATGTTGTGATCAATACATTCTATCCATCATGGAATAGTTCTATAAGTTTTATGTAAAAAGAGGTCAGGAGTCTCCCAGAACCAGAAAAATACCTTTCTCGTATTGCCGAAAAAAATATCGTAATTTTATAAGGCTTAGAGCCGGGCTACTAAAACTTAAGGTCTTAGTAAAGGTGGATGCGCTGATATTGATGTACGATTACGGCCTTGTCCGATATGGGGAAACAAGTGTAGAGAATGAATAGTATTTTACATTAGAATGTGAATATTGCAACGATATTAGACAACTGTACTTACCAACAACCTTTTGCCATAATCCAAATACCTATAAATGCAGCTGTCATTCCCATGTAGACAATTACTTGAGAGACTATGTAAATACCTGTGTTACAGCAAGGAAAGGAGACGTAATTATTAAAAGCCTGTAAATCTATGAAAGTGTACATGACATTGCCTTTTTGTCACGTACCACACAATTTCAAACGTATATGTATTGTATATGGGACAGTGGCCTTAGTACAAATAAAACACTTTGACAATATCATAAGCTTGTGTTTGAAAGGCATTTAGAAGTGATACACATGAGGAAGAGAATTTATGGATGTCAACTTCTTTATTATGAGGAACACAACGTTTCGGAGTATATGCTGATGAAGGAGTAAGCATATACTCCGAAACATTGAGTTAATAAAGAAGTTGACATCCATAAATTATCTTTCCTGTCATAAGCATGTGTTTATGAAATGCAATCAAACAGTGATGATTGATGGTACCAGGTGTTGGGTGCATCCTGCAAAGGCCAGTCAGTTGTTCACCTGAAAAAGCACGGGAACATTGGTACAGGTCAAAACAGGGCATTGCATAGAACATTATGTTTTGTCACTGATTTTGGAAATGTCTACCATTAAACTGTTTGAAAACTTTTCTAAGGCCTTGAATGTGGTTTTATATTTAAAAAGTAAATAAAATCAATTTGATGTATTTCTTAGAATTATGGTTAATTGTTAATACTGCATGAACTGCTTAAGATGATGGCTGATTTTTATTTTTGTATAAAGGTATGAAAGTATGTTTTTTCTATAAGTGAACATTGGTATAACATGAGAACACACAAAAGAAGGGTTTGAACATGCTTGATATGTGTCCATGTTAGGCGGAGTATATATATGTAACTTTGCTTCTGATACTGGGGAAAGCAACACATGATAGTATATCACTATCCCACCACTTTCGCATGACTATCGTGCCTCTTTTGCGCCACTAACACGATACTTACCGGCATTTTGATGCCACTTTTGTGGTATTAATGGGCCATTTTCAAGCCACTTTCGCGGTACTTTCATGGCACTATCACAAACATATCACAAAACTATTTCGCGATGCAGGGGAAGGAATTATGAAATGTAGTGTACAGGGATTTACTTTGGTCTATCTGTATTCAAGCCCAAGCGTCTCTCAGTAAAACATATTGGAAGTTCAAGGCATGAACACTGGGGTGCCAGGCTGTCGATATGTGACACGTTTAGGAAAATAATACTTTCGCACATTCTAATGTTGGATTGAATAAAGTCAACCATGACACACTGAACTTTGAGTGTACCAGAGAAAAAATATCATGTGTCTCGCACAATCTACAATTTTGATAAATTTAAGGATTCAAACACACATACTTGCAATGTAAATTATTGGCATGTAAATATAGGAAGCAATATTTTGTGTCTGCTCAAACCCTGCACATTGTTGTCAAAGTTTCCGAGTAGTGCCACCCCTTCCATGTACATGTAGGTTGTCATGCAGGCTCTACTCTACACTGTAGGTCGTGCGCCCCGAGCTGAGCCGGACGGTATGTACGGGGCAGGGGAGTCTGAAGGACCAGGACCCCGAGGTGCGAGCCATCCTGGACAAGGAGAAGCACCGACAGACACATGGCCTGGAGCTCATAGCATCCGAGGTAAGTGCCGTCTTGTAACCATGGTGACAGAGACTCTTCTCCGACATTGGTGCCTGAGTGATCAAGTGTACAGGTAACTTGTAAAGCCTGATTATGAAACAAATTATGAGACACTGATTTATGAAACAAATTATGAGACACTGATTTATAAAACAAATTATAAAACACTGATTTATGAAACTCTTTGATTGTGTCTACTTGTTTGTTGTTTAATACCACACTTAGCAATATTCCAGTTATATGACGGTGGTCTGTAAATAATCGAGTCATCTTGAACATCAATCTACACAATTGGGACATGATAACATGCATCCACCAAGTCAGCAAGCCTGACCACCCGATCCCATTTGTTGCCTCTTACAACAAGCAAGGGTTGCTGAAGACCTATTCTAACCCGAATCTTCATGGGTATGAAACTCTTTGAAACCACAGGCATTTAATCATCGTGAAATCTTTGTCAAAAAGATTAGGTTTGATATGGGACATGACTGGAATATGGCTAAAAGTGGCATAAAATTATATTCACTCCCTCTCTAATCAAGCTGACACCCTCAGCACATGGAGAACTTGTCACCTGTTATCAGCAGTCTTCCAGATTGAGCACTGTGGTCTGTCAATAACTGAGTCAGGCCCTGGGAACGTGGTGACTTGACTCCACAGCAATCCACACAGTCAGGGCAGGCTGACCTGCAGTCGGCCAAGTCCCAGTGCAGACCACTCTATCTTTATCAGCTGCAATTGCAACCAGCAGTGGCGTGGTGGGGAACATGATATTTTGTGGACTTTGTCCATCATAATTTCAGATGGGGCTCGGGTGGCCCAGTTGTCTCAGGCTCTGCAATTCAGAATCCAGACTGCATCCCTTACGTGTGTCTGAAACCTCTGATCATGGGTTTGAATCCCAGGTCACCCTTGAGACCGCGGCCAAGGACATGTCATGATTGTTTCAACTTTTGACAGGACATTCTTCTATGTCATTACTAAATCTATAAAAATCTTTAGGACGTTTTGGATGACAATCAGTCAGGAAATCCCTGGGACCTGCATCCTTTTGGGCTTTCCTCCGACATCATGTTGACATAACAGCAACAACATTTAAAACATCTTTAAACCACTCACTCACTCATTGTAGGCTGTGTGTGTTGTATTCCAGAACTTTGCCAGCCGGGCGGTCCTGGAGGCCCTGGGGTCGTGTCTCACCAACAAGTACTCTGAAGGCTACCCTGGTGCCAGGTGAGCTAACACAAACCATCCTGGACAGCTCTCTGTTGCTGAAGAAATTCTTAGTCTTTCTTGTCCCTGGTAACTTGACATCCATCTCATGCTGTAGATCCCATATCATTCAAGTACCAACCTGATGAATATCCAACAACACAGGGGGCACGGGTGGCCCAGTCGTCTAAGGCGCCGCAATTCGCTGTGCAGAGTTGCGTCCTTTAGGCACGCCAGAAACCTATGATTGTGGGTTCGAATCCCGGTTCGCCCCGATTATGTTTCTAGGTTTGTCAGCACCTGGCGGTGCTCGTGGGTTTCAGCGAAGTGGTAAACGTCTGAGACCTGCATCACTTCGGGCTTTCCTCCCACATTAAGCTGACACGCCGTGATATAACTGGAATATTGTTAAAAGCGGCGTTAAACCCAACTCACTCACTCACTCACTCCAACAACACACTTGTAACAACTAGAATGGCATTAGGCTGCCTGGGAATGGTATTCAAGTTGCCTTTGAAGATGAACAGTGAGTGTGAGTGAGTGAGTATGTTTTACGCTGCTTTTAGCAATATTCCAGCAATATCACGGCGGGGGACACCAGAAATGGATCATCTCACACATTGTACCCATGTCAGGAATCGAACCCGGGTCTTCGGCGTGACAGGTGAACGCTTTAACCACTAGGCTACCCCACGGCCCCCAAGCTGAACAGACTAGGAGTAGGTAGCCAGGTTGTTTTTTACAGTTTTTACGGAGAATACGTGCAGTGTCCATGTAGCAAAAAGTTAGAAATTCAGCAGCAGATCTGGCTGAATCTTGTTGAATCTGTCAGTGATTGTTTTGTATTGTAGGTTTTGTATGTGATGCACAAATGTTGAGATTAGATGCAGAAAAAGAATATTCTGCATCCCGAGGCTGCACAATATTATACATTTTACTTACAGCCTCATCACACCAAGGACCTGGGTTCGATTCCCGACATGGATACAATGTGTGAGCCCATTTCTGGTGTCCCCTGCCATGATATTGCTGAACTATAGCTAAAAGCGGCGTGAAACAAAACTCACTCCCTCACTTTTACCTACAGCGCATAAAGAGCTGTTATGGGTGTCTTATTTCATCCCTCATTCGTGACCACTGTCCACATTGATTCATTCCAGTCCCTAAAGTTATTATGTTCTACACCCATACATTACCGTATTTTCTTGAGTATAGTGCGCACCCATGTATAATGCGCACCCTCCTCTAGCGGGTTCAATATTTTGGAAAAAAAGAAATTTGAATAGTATGCGCAGAAAAAATTACACCGTACCCCTTCAGCGAAGTCCGGCAAATGAACGGGTGATGAGAAACTTCGTCAGTACAAATTCAAAATTTGAGATAAAAAATCACCAGACATGTTGATTTACCGTTTAAATTGTATTTTTTGTTCAGCTAGGCATTGTTTTATATCCAGGGATTAAGATTACCTTGTGTATTTTCTCGTAAACTAAGCCGGACACAGCAATCAGCTGTACACACGTTTTCTTGGAATCTACCGGTGATTCGGTCAAGACACACCCAATGATATAACTTTACAGAATTTTAATGCAAGGATCGGCAAAAGTTGTATCTGAAACTGTTTTTTTATCAGGAATAATATATTCCAATATCTTGTTAATTTAGATGCAGCTTTAACTAAACATATTTAAAACAATAATAACCCTAAGCGAAGCAGCTGATGGCTATTGCCGGTTATTATTTTTTACATGGAACCAGTCTGACCAGTCACCGTCAAGGCTCCCGTGCACGTGATCGCGAGAATTACGTGTTGACATAGAATCGTCCAACAAAAACAAATATGACTTTTAACGAATCAAAGTAAGGTATTTATGATATATGTATCCATTCGCTGTCAACTAAAGTTCGTTTCAAGGCGTCAATAGCGGTAATCTGACCGTGGTTGCTGTTAATAACAGTGAGTTGTGCAATCTTCCGATCGCTTCACACACGATTTCGCCGAAATTAATTAAAACAATATTAAAAGGAATTTTGAATAAAATTAATGAAATAAGTTACAAACATAAGTCCAGATATACAAAGAACACTTTTTAGCCAGACAGTGTAATTACATGAATAATTTGCGAACTTCAGTATGGATTTAGTGACATGGTATTTCCAGTGTTACGTGCTCACGGTAATGTCTTTCCATGGGGGAAAAAACTTCAAAACTCATTAATTCGTGTATAATGCGCACCCCCTTCTACACACATGCGGATTTTTTTTTAAAAAGTGCGCACTATACTCAAGAAAATACGGTACTTTACAGGACCCTCATACTTCCTGCAAGGACCCTTAAACCCTGGACCCCCAATTTTGTAAGTCAAGGTAAAACCTTGGATTGTTTGTATTGCGTCGACCGTGTAAGTGATTGTGTTGTATTGCATCGACTGTGCAGACAGTGTTACAGCTGTTGCCAGAATGGTTTGTAGCACACAGACTGTCTGTGTAATGACTGGTGGAGTGTTGACCTCGTGACAGGCCCTGATTAATTCTTAGTTCAATGGTAAAAGTTTTATGCTTTTTGTTCACACAGGTACTATGGAGGAAATATTTTCATTGACGAGGTTGAAACTCTGTGCCAGAAGAGGGCGCTGGAAGCTTTCCGTCTTGACCCCGAGAAGTGGGGTGTGAACGTCCAGCCCTATTCGGGCAGCCCGGCTAACTTCGCTGTGTTCACCGCGCTGCTGAAGCCACACGACCGGATCATGGGCCTCGACCTGCCGGACGGAGGGCAGTAAGTCCGACTTCCTTGTCTTCATTGCTATACCTGGTTACAGTGTATTTGTGAAAGGTCAAGTTCACTGGTAAAAGTCAGTAGAATCACGTGATTGTTACTGTTGCTATGCATGTGACGCAGGACATGCTCCAGTTTGAGACATTGCAACCCATCTGCACACCACTTGACTAACAGGTTGTTCATCGAGGGAAATAGACTTTGTACACTTATTGAGGATGCATTTTATGCCCCCCTTACACTACGACCACGAATATCCCGAATCACCCGGAAACTTTTAAAATTTGTGATGATTCGGCCAATAATGCAAACTTTCGTGGAGAATCAGTAGGAGGTACTAAGCAGTTACAAAAAGTTATGGCTAATCGCATTGAAAAATATGAAGAATGCCAAGAATGGGTTAAGAAACGTATGAATTACAAGATTCATGTACGAATCATGCAAAAATTGTAAGAATCACCTACGACTTAGTTACGAATATGCCGAATGCATGTACTAATGCAGGACGATCGCAACGAATAAGATACGACTAAAACGACACATCTACGAATAGTTTGCAAAAATCGGTACTTTTCCTGATACTTCGGCTTGTTCTTGGGTCCCGAAAGACTGGCCAGTCCATCATTTCCACCATGGAGGTTAAACGGAGAGCACGTGTTGCTCTGGTCCTGGTCCTTCGGGAATCATGTTGTTCTTACTTAATTCTTACATGATTCGAAGTTGACTCAGGATATTGATGGCTGTTTCGGGATGTTTTCGGGTTGAGGACAAGAAATTTTGGGAGCCATGAATCGCTAAGAATAGCCAAGAATGCAAAAGTATCGATTATGAAGCTGTTACGGAACATAAGGATTAATTACGAATGGATTATGATACAACCATAAAATTACAATTCAGGGACCCTTCCACAAACAAAAACTTTCTCACCGATTTGACGAACTCTGGTGAACTGTACAAATGTTTCGGAATTAATTAAGATTCATTTAAGAACTTCAAGAAATGATTGTGATTTATCCATGAACATGAAAAATTTCCTATTCGGGATATTCGTGGTCGTAGTGAAATGGGGGCATTAGAGTAGACATTTGTCCTTTAGCATATATCCTTTGTAATGTGATCAGCGACTGAGGCAGAAATCCCAGCATGGTCCAAGAAGGTTTAGAAACTACACAAGGTCATACTGGCTTCTGTGCAATGCATTTATTCTGATTCATTGGACATATATCCACTATTTGATTATTAATAAGTACCATATTGTATTTGACCTACAGGATCAAGTTGTAACATGAATAATGACTTCAGTTTTCACTGGGGTGGTGGGATAGCCTAGTTGTTAAAGCGTTTGTTTGACATGCTGAAGTCCCGTGTTCGATTCCCCACATGGGTACAATGAGTGAAGCCTATTTCTGGTGTCCCCCGCCCTGATATTTTTGACATACTCACTCACTCACTTAGTTTTCACTTCTAACCATTGCATAAATGATTGCATCTTGATCAACAGTATTTCACAGGCGACTAGCGGGATCGGTGGTCAGACTCCCTGAGTTGGTTGATGTATGGCATCGTATCCCAATTGCGTGGATTGATGCTCATGATGTCAGTCACTGGATTGTCTGGTCCAGACTTGATTATTTATAGACCGCTGTCATATAGCTGGAATATTGCTGAGTGCGGCGTTAAACAACAAACAATCAATCAATCAAAGTCTTAGGATATTAAGAACCATCCATGCACTCAAGGCTCAAATATAACTAAATATAGGTGAGCTTCTGTGCTTCTGGTTCTCTTTAGCTCATTGTGAGCATACCGTGGCTATGTCATAGAAATCTCTCTCTGTTACATCAACTGTTTGCTTTCAGAATGTCTGTTCACTTTTCAGCTTGACCCATGGCTTTATGACTGATCTGAAACGAGTGTCTGCAACGTCCATCTTCTTTGAGTCCATGCCTTACAAGATCAATGTATGTACCAACATAATATTGTGTTTGAGTGACTCTCTCTGTGGTGGAGTGGATAGAGTGTTTTGTTTCTATCGCTGCCTCGTCATGCAAAAAGATGTTAAGAGATGGAATTTGTTACCTTCCAGAACAATGTGCTTGATATTAGGGCTAATAGAGCTCCAGAACAATGTGCTTGATGTTAGGGATAACAGATCTCCAGAACGATGTGCTTGATATCAGGGCTGACAGGGTCTCCAGAACAATGTGCTTGATATTAGGGCTGACAGGGTGTCCAGAACAATGTGCTTGATATTAGGGCTGACAGGGTCTCCAGAACAATGTGCTTGATATTAGGGCTGACAGGGTGTCCAGAACAATGTGCTTGATATTAGGGCTGACAGGGTCTCAAGAACAATGTGGTTGATGTAAGGGCTGACAGGTCTTCAGAACAATGTGCTTGATATTAGGGCTCACAGGTACTCCAGAACAATGTGCTTGATATTAGAGATAACAGATCTCGAGAACAATGTGCTTGATATTAGGGCTGACAGGGTCTCCAGAACAATGTGCTTGATATTAGGGCTGACAGGGTCTCCAGAACAATGTGCTTGATATTAGGGCTAACAGGGCTCCAGAACGATGTGCTTGATGTTAGGGCTGACAGGGTCGCCAGAACGATGTGCTTGATTAAGAGCTGACAGGTCTCCAGAACAATGTGCTTGATGTACGGGCTAATGTGGACTTCATAACGATGTGCTTGATGTACGGGCTAACAGTGTCTCCAGAATGATGTGCTTGATGTTAGGGCTGACAGGGTCGCCAGACAATGTGCTTGATGTTAGGGCTTACAGGGTCTCCAGAATGATGTGCTTGATATTAGGGCTAACAGTGTCTCCAGAACGATGTGCTTGATGTTAGGGCTGACAGGGTCGCCAGAACGATGTGCTTGATGTTTGGGCTGACAGGGTCACCAGAACAATGTGCTTGATGTTAGGGTTAACAGTGTCTCCAGAACGATGTGCTTGATATTAGGGCTAACAGGGCTCCAGAACGACGTGCTTGATGTTAGGGCTGACAGGGTTGCCAGAACGATGTGCTTGATGTTAGGGCTGACAGGGTCTCCAGAATAATGTGCTTGATGTCAGGGAATGAGGATTAGATGGTCACAATGTGCTGATGGCATGGATGGGTGCCCAGGGTTGACGTTCACTCACTCACATCAAGTTAATATCCTGGACAATCTAGATCATATTCTTATAGGAACTAAACATGTCCATATTGAGATGATTTGAACTTTCTCTACTTCAGCCTGTGACCGGCTACATTGACTATGAGCAGCTGAGCGTCACCTCCCGACTGTTCCGTCCTCGCCTCATCATTGCTGGCACCACTGCATACTCCCGTCTCCTTGACTACAAGGCATTCAGAGAGGTGAGCAATTCACTGAATCTTTAAACACAGACACTAGATGGCCCAGTTGTCTAAGCTGCTGCCATTGGCTGTGGATAGTTGCGCCACTTAGGTGTGCCAGACCATTTCGCCCTGATGCTAGGTTTGATATGTACCTGTATACCTGGTCAATACTTGGGCTGTGTGTGTGTGTGTTGCAGATCTGCAATCAGTGCAAAGCCTACATGTTGGCGGACATGTCTCACATATCTGGACTGGTGGCAGCAGATGTCATCCCGAGCCCCTTCGAGTACGCAGATGTCGTGTCCTCCACGACCCACAAGACACTGAGAGGGCCCAGGTAATGAGAAGTAGACTCAGGGACACCCAGAACTCAACTCATGCCGTATTTTCTCTAATACTCAGAACTCGATGACTCATACCATATTTCCTCTAATACTCAGAACTCTATGACTCATGCCGTATTTCCTGTATTACTCAGAACTCTATGACTCATGCCGTATTTCCTGTAATACTCGGAACTAATGACTCATACCATATTTCCTCTTTTACTCCGAACTAGATGACTCATGCCGTATTTCCTGTAATACTCGGAACTAATGACTCATACCATATTTCCTCTAATACTCAGAACTCTATGACTCATGCTGTATTTCCTGTAATACTCAGAACTCTATGACTCATGCCGTATTTCCTGTAATACTCGGAACTAATGACTCATACCATATTTCCTCTTTTACTCCGAACTAGATGACTGATACCGTATTTCCTCTTTTACTCAGAACTAGATGACTGATACCGTATTTCCTCTAATAATCAGAACTAGATGACTGATACCATATTTCTTGTAGTAATCAGAACTAGATGACTCATGCCGTATGTCCTCTAATACTCAGAACTAGATGACTGATACCGTATTTCTTCTTATACTCAGAACTAGATGACTCATGCCGTATTTCCTCTTACACTCAAAACTAGACGACTCATACCATATTTCCTATAACAAGGAAGCAGCTTTGATCAAAATGATAGCTTTAAATTAGCTCAGCCCCCATAAGTGCCGATAGCTACATTACATTAACTGATTTCTCCCTTGTATGAATAGAAAATGAAGGGTCCCTGCTGAGCACCTGAAATAAGCACCATATGGCAAGAATTTACAATGAAAGTAATTGATGCTTTACAAATCCAGGTATAAACGAATAGCTCAAGTTCAAGGTGTTGGGTCTAGGAGCTGGCTGAATAAAACAAGCACCATTGTTCTTATTTAATGAAATATGGTGTCTTCTCATGGCTGAATGGAAACAACTATAGTCAAACACCCTTGTGTCAAACACTCTTGTGTCAAACACCGTTGTGTCAAACACCGTTGTGTCAAACTTTTGGTTGTATCGAAGTAAAAGCTTAGTCCCTACGTGTTCCTTCCTTATTCATCACTTCCGGTTGTGTCGAACCTTGGATAACTTGAAACATTTACGTAGGTCTCTTCAACTTGGACACAACAGTGTTTGACTATGTATTCAATGCTGTTTTAGAAACAGCTCACTGGCCATTGTGATTACCTTGCATCACTTTCATATGAAAGTGTCAATATTCTCTAGAGGAGAAAGTACTCGGCTCATGATAATATACTGGTTAGTAGACTAGTGTAAACAAGTGTACATTTAAAACATTAATATGTGTTAATGTAGGAATGTGATCAAAGCGTGTGAGAGAAGAAACATGCAGCATAGACAAAACTAAGTCATGACATCTAAAATTGAACGTTCTTTCACCACCTGCCCCCGGTGAAGTACAGGGACTTGTGTGTTGCAGGTCTGGCATCATCTTCTACAGGAAGGGGGTGAAGGGGGTGGACAAGAAGACTGGGAAGGAAATACTGTGGGACTTGGACAAGCTGATCAACGGGGCCGTGTTCCCCGCCCTGCAGGGAGGACCGCATGAACACCAGATCGCTGGCGTTGCGATCGCTCTCAAAGAGGTATTCCTACAACACTCATGCAGCCTTGCAATCTTGCCTGGACAACACTCCTGTATTTACAGGCCACTTCACTCACTCACTCACTCACTCACTCACTCACTCACTCACTCACTCACTCACTCACTCACTCACTCACTCACTCACTCACTCACTCACTCACCTACTCACCCACCCACTCACTCACTCACTCACTCTAAACATGCCACATCAGAGATTCTGCTGGATGTGTCAGGTTGTATGGTGTAGGGGGCGGTCGGGTAGCCTAGTGGTTAAAGCGTTCGCTCGTCACGCCGAAGACCCGGGTTTGATTCCTGACATGGGTACATTGTGTGAAGCCCATTTCTGGTGTCCCCCGCCGTGATATTGCTGGAATATTGCTAAAAGCGGCGTAAAACCATAGTCACTCACTCACTCACTCACTTGTATGGTGTAGAGACAACATGGCTAGAAGCCTTTCACCTAACTGCGTTCCACTTCTTGGGGACAGTGGGGTAGCCTAGTGGTTTAGGCGTTTGCTCGTCACAGGAAAGACACGTTTGAGTCCCCATATGGGTACAATGGGTGATGCCCGCCATGATATTACTGGAATCTTGCTAAAACCATAATACCATAAAACCATACTTACTCACTCACTTCTCCTCTAGGCAGCGTCACCAGAGTTCCGTGAATACCAGACACAGGTGCTGAAGAACGCCAAGGCCATGAGTGATGCCCTGGTGAAACATGGCTACAAAGTTGTCTCAGGTCAGTACTTTATTGGACCGCGTGGGACCCGTGTTAGAGTAGATGCCCTGACTCTATCCCGGGTGTGAGGCGGGAAGGTTAGATGTGGTTGTCAGTCTTTGTGACATGTTATAATTATGGATCATTGCCCATGCGTTCAGTCACTGGTTTGTCTGGCAAAGATCACTACACTGTATATAATAACTGCTATTATGATATTACCAGTAACTAAATCTAACTTTATTATAATATTTTACATTAAGTATTTGTCTAGTCAACGTGGGGTGTAAATGATGTCTAATGTGTGATTGTGTATACAAGGTGTTTGTGTCATGATTGTGTGATGGTGTATACAAGGTGTTTGTGTCATGATTGTGTGATGGTGTATACAAGGTGTTTGTGTCATGATTGTGTGATGGTGTATACAAGGTGTTTGTGTCCTGATTGTGTGATGGTGTATACAAGGTGTTTGTGTCATGATTGTGTGATGGTGTATACAAGGTGGTTGTGTCATGATTGTGTGATGGTGTATACAAGGTGTTTGTGTCATGATTGTGTGATGGTGTATACAAGGTGGTTGTGTCATGATTGTGTGATGGTGTATACAAGGTGTTTGTGTCATGATTGTGTGATGGTGTATACAAGGTGTTTGTGTCATGATTGTGTGATGGTGTATACAAGGTGGTTGTGTCATGATTGTGTGATGGTGTATACAAGGTGGTTGTGTCATGATTGTGTGATGGTGTATACAAGGTGTTTGTGTCATGATTGTGTGATGGTGTATACAAGGTGGTTGTGTCATGATTGTGTGATGGTGTATACAAGGTGGTTGTGTCATGATTGTGTGATGGTGTATACAAGGTGGTTGTGTCATGATTGTGTGATGGTGTATACAAGGTGTTTGTGTCATGATTGTGTGATGGTGTATACAAGGTGGTTGTGTCATGATTGTGTGATGGTGTATACAAGGTGGTTGTGTCATGATTGTGTGATGGTGTATACAAGGTGTTTGTGTCATGATTGTGTGATGGTGTATACAAGGTGGTTGTGTCATGATTGTGTGATGGTGTATACAAGGTGGTTGTGTCATGATTGTGTGATGGTGTATACAAGGTGTTTGTGTCATGATTGTGTGATGGTGTATACAAGGTGGTTGTGTCATGATTGTGTGATGGTGTATACAAGGTGTTTGTGTCATGATTGTGTGATGGTGTATACAAGGTGGTTGTGTCATGATTGTGTGATGGTGTATACAAGGTGGTTGTGTCATGATTGTGTGATGGTGTATACAAGGTGGTTGTGTCATGATTGTGTGATGGTGTATACAAGGTGGTTGTGTCATGATTGTGTGATGGTGTATACAAAATGATTGTGTCATGATTGTGTGATGGTGTATCCAAGATGGTTGTGTCCTGATTGTGTGATGGTGTATCCAAGGTGTTTGTGTCACAATGATTGAATTTGTCTTCTCTTCTGTTCCAGGGGGCACAGACAATCACTTGGTCCTGGTTGACCTTCGACCCAAGGGCACAGACGGTGCTCGCATAGAGCGTGTTCTAGAAATGTGCTACATCACTGTCAACAAGAACACCTGTGCTGGGGACAAGAGTGCCATGACCCCTGGGGGCCTGCGTCTAGGTAAGGGGGTGGTTGGGACGTGCTGGGGACAAGAGTGCCATGTCCCCTGGGGGCCTGCGGCTAGGTAAGGGGGTGGTTGGGACGTGCTGGGGACAAGAGTGCCATGACCCCTGGGGGCCTGCGTCTAGGTTAGGGGGTGGTTGGGATGTGCTGGGGACAAGAGTGCCATGTCCCCTGGGTGCCTGCGGTTAGGTAAGGGGGTGGTTGGGACGTGCTGGGGACAAGAGTGCCATGACCCCTGGGGGCCTGCGTCTAGGTAAGGGGGTGGTTGGGATGTGCTGGGGACAAGAGTGCCATGACCCCTGGGGGCCTGCATCTAGGTAAGGGGGTGGTTGGGACGTGCTGGGGACAAGAGTGCCATGTCCCCTGGGTGGTTGGGATTTGCTGGGGACAAGAGTGCCATGACCCCTGGGGGCCTGCGTCTAGTCAAGGGGGTGGTTGGGATGTGCTGGGGACAAGAGTGCCATGTCCTCTGGGGGCCTGCGTCTAGTCAAGGGGGTGGTTGGGATGTGCTGGGGACAAGAGTGCCATGACCCCTGGGGGCCTGCGTCTAGGTAAGGGGGTGGTTGGGATGTGCTACATAACGGTCACAAGAACACATACTTGTACAAGGGACAGGATTGTTCCATGACCCCTAGGGGGATTCTGTTTTGCTAGAGATGGGCTGCAACGTGTCAAGAGACTGGTCAGCACATAACCCACCCTTAGGAAGAAGTGAGTCTCCACTGTAGTTTTCTTGCAGCAATGTGAATTCAGAGATGAATACAACCTCTCACACACTCCTTCAACAGAATAGTGTTAACCAGGGTACCGTTGAGCTAAACAACCTAGGCGCTACGACTGTCATAAGTGTAAGGGGAGTTGCGATCACCTTAGCGCTAAGATGGCTTTGTACAACGCAACCTGGCACTCTAGGCCCCTGTTCAATGTGGGTCTACAATCTCTCACACATTCCTTCAACAGAGTAATCGTAACCGTAGGCCCCTGGTCAATGTGGGTCTACAGTCTCTCACACATTCCTACAATAGAGTAATCGTAACCGTAGGCCCCTGGTTATTGTGGGTCTACAATCTCTCACACATTCCTACAATAGAGTAATCGTAACCGTAGGCCCCTGTACATTGTGGGTCTACAATCTCTCTCTCACATTCCTTCAGGGGCGGTCGGGTAGCCTAGTGGTTAAAGCGTTCGCTCGTCACGCCGAAGATCTGGGTTCGATTCCTAACATGGGTACAATGTGTGAAGCCCATTTCTGGTGTCCCCCGCTGTGATATTGCTGGAATATTGCTAAAAGCGGCGTAAAACCAAACTCACTCACTCACTCACATTCCTTCAACAGAGTAATCGTAACCGTAGGCCCCTGGTCAATGTGGGTCTACAATCTCTCACACATTCCTACAATAGAGTAATCGTAACCGTAGGCCCCTGGTTATTGTGGGTCTACAATCTCTCACACATTCCTACAATAGAGTAATCGTAACCGTAGGCCCCTGTACCAGGGGTCCGGAAACCGTCATATGCGCCGGACATGTCCGATTGGGAATCTCAAATGTCCGTTTTAAAATATTGCTTACCGGACATTTTAAAAAGTATTGTCCGGACATTCTTAAATTTTGACCGGACATGATCAACAGATAGGACTGATTCTGTCTGCAGTTGCAACACAATGAAGATTAACTACACTGACAAGCTTTGTTTGTTTTGATTGCTGTAAATACATCGTACCTACATGATAGTCCAATCTGTCAATCACTGTAATAGGCAATAAACTGAGTTGACACTGAGTAATTGAGGATTAATTACTGAGAACATCTTGTTAATTTGAGTGAAAGGTGTTTACAACTGTACATTAATACCTTGCATCATCGATGTACCTCATTATCCTCACAATGCTACGATACGTAACCTCAGACAAGAAGCGAAAGCGTGACGACAGCCAGTCGACCGATGCAGATCAGTCGGGCGGATCTGCCAAACAATGAGGATTTGCAGATTTTATTGTTTTCAGTAGCTAGTCGTATATTGAATCTTGATTGACCGCCATTTTGCTTTCTCGGACGATCGATATCCAATTTTTTTATGGTCAATAATTAAGTACAGATGAAAAAAGTATTCAAATAACTATTGCTATCAACGATATTTTAGTATTTGTGATTAAAATATCTGTCTTGTTTTTAAAAAAATCTTTAGTTTAAAAAAACACCTTTTCCCGTGAGGTCACGTGATAACCAAATATGGGATAATAGTCTCGATCCAAATGTTACAACGCGTACACTTGAGCAGACTCATGAATATAACTCATGAATATTAATTAGACCGTTCACTACGTTAACAGATCGTTATTATAACAGAAACAAACGTATTTTTTCCATGTAAATCTAAAATATTATTTGTTATTAATTGTCCGGTAAATTAAACAATTTAAATTGAAACAATTCATAATTCATCATATTATGAATACGTAAACTTGTAATGTGTGTGAAAAGTCGTACTAAAATACGCTATTTGAAGGGGGCGTGGCCTAAATGCAAATGTCCGATTGGGATTTTAAATTTTCCGGACCCCTGCCCTGTACATTGTGGGTCTACAATCTCTCACACATTCCTTCAACAGAGTAATCGTAACCGTAGGCCCCTGGTTATTGTGGGTCTACAATCTCTCACACATTCCTACAATAGAGTAATCGTAACCGTAGGCCCCTGTACATTGTGGGTCTACAATCTCTCTCTCACATTCCTTCAGGGGCGGTTGGGTAGCCTAGTGGTTAAAGCGTTCGCTCGTCACGCCGAAGATCTGGGTTCGATTCCTAACATGGGTACAATGTGTGAAGCCCATTTCTGGTGTCCCCCGCTGTGATATTGCTGGAATATTGCTAAAAGCGGCGTAAAACCAAACTCACTCACTCACTCACATTCCTTCAACAGAGTAATCGTAACCGTAGGCCCCTGTACATCGTGGTTCTACAATCTCTCACACATTCCTTCAACAGAGTAATCGTAACCGTAGGCCCCTGGTCCATGTGGGTTGAGTGTTAGTGTAATTAGTGATGTGGGAGAGAGAAACAATGTCTATATGTTACAATCATTTATTGCTATATGGACCTAGATAATAAAAAGTGGAAAGGTAAAGAGTTGTTTAAGTGACCTGATTCAATTGTTTTTTATATGAGCTGATTCAAATGTTGTTAATTTGACCTGATTCAAGTGTTGTTTTTATGACCTGGTTCAAATGTAGAAATGACCTGATGTAAGCTAGCTTGGACTGACAGTTGACAGTTGTCTTTAATAACTTCAAAAGGTGTTCCTGGTTCCACAGCCCAACTAGGGGAAAAGGGTGGCCCAGTCGTCTAAGGCGCCGCAATTCGTTGCGTCCCTTGGGCACGCCAGAAACCTATGATTTCGGGTTTGAATCCCAGTTCACCCGATTATGTTTCTAGGTTTGTCAGCACCATACCCGTGCTCATGCGTTTCATCGAAGTGGTAAACGCCTAAGACCTGCATCACTTTGGGCTTTCCTCCCACATTAATCTGCTATAACTGGAATACTGTTAAAAGTGGGGTTAAGCCCAACTCACTCACTCACTCACTCACTCACTCACTCACTCACTCACTCACTCACTCACTCACTCACTCACTCACTCACTCACTCACTCACTCACTCACTCACTCACTCACTCACTCACTCACTGCCCTGACATTGCCCTGACATTGCCCTGACATGATGCATCAGCCCTGACATGATGCCTCAGCCCTGACAAAGCCCTGTGATAGCCTAGTGGTTAATCCATTTGCCTGTCAAAGGTCTGGGTTCGAACCCCCACATTGGTACACTGTGTAAAGTAGATTTCTGGCGTCCCCACCATAATGCTGCAATATAATTGTGTAAAACTCACTCACTCACTCTCTCACTACATCTGACATTCCAGGTGCACCAGCCCTCACGACACGAGGCTTCAAGGAGGACGACTTCCGCACCGTCGTTGATTTCCTTAACAGGGGCGTCCACATCGGACTGGAGGTTCAGAACCAGACAAGTAAGACTCAATGGTTGCCAAGGCAACTGTTTAGCTATACTGTGGGGGTTCTGGGTTAGAACTGGTCCCCGACTACCTATGCTGGATAAAAGAGGTGACTTAGTGGATTGGGTGGTCAGACTTGGTTGAGTGTGTCATTGCACTCCAATAGCATGGATCATTGCTCACATTAGCAATCACTGGATTGTCTGGTCCAGACTCAATTATTTACAGCTCGAATATTGCTGAGTGCGAAGACAAAGCAACCAATATTTGGAAGATTCTGTTGAAACAGTGATAGAAGCCTTCACTTGCTTCATATACAGCTGCTTTCCAGATGATCTGTGTTTCGAACGTTTACTGGCATATAGGGCATTTAGGCTAAAAAAACCAATAGCCTTGTTTCTCAGGCACTGCCCGCATTATCATTAAGTCTGCTGCATGTTTCATTTTTATTTCCATTTTCAAAAAGATATAAAAATCCTGATGATTAAAAACATTGCGATCCAATAACGCACACAGTTACCTCCCTTTACATGCACACAGCTTTACTGCGCATCTCGTGTTATGGTCATGGCAGCAGTAGAAGTTTGTATGCTTGGTTGATGGTACACAAGTGTTTATTTCCTTACATACTACTTTGAACAAGCAAAAAAAAACCACTGCCCGCCCGCACTATATTTTCAAAAGTCATTGCCTGAGGACCACTTCTTTTATTTTTTGAATTCTTAACAACAAACACAAACCATCCAATGTTTATAAGTTTTTGTTATGACAGCGATAGCCTTCACTTGCTTCATATACAGCTGCTTTCTAGATGATCCGTATTTTGAACGTTTACTGGCATATTAAGGGCATTAACTTGGCATGTCTCCAAAATACTGATACAGGTATTGACATATCATGGGATTCATAATATCAATCACTGGTTTGCCTGATTTAGATTCAATTATTTATAGGCTGCCATCATCTGACTTGAATATTGCAGTGTTACATAAAAAACATACAAACAACAACATTTTATTGTTATTTATTGTTTCAGAAAAGTTGAAGGACTTTAAGGAATTTCTAGTAGAGGATTCTGCCACAGTAGAGAAGATGAGAACCCTCAAGGCGGAGGTGAACGACTTTGCCAAGACATTTCCAATGCCCGGGTTTGATGACCGATAACTGGCGCAGGGATAGAATGCCACTTCCAGGAAGTCCATCAACGTCCGAGCATCAGGAAAACCTAGGTGTTGAGGACGTTTGTCTTGCGACACTCATCTTGCTGCGAATCTCTATTTTTGTACACTTACGACGGTGATAATGCTTTAATATATTTCTTATTGTAGTTTTGGTTTCATGTAAACAACTGACAGAATCACACATTATATCAATCAAAACCTGGCGCGAACTGATTACTTATTAATTGCTCCTTGAAGCAAGAAAGGTGATAAGACGAGAGTAAGATAAATGACAGAACTTGTCACCAGTTGATCTGATAAAAGTCACAATTTTATCAACTATTATTTATCTTTGATAAACTTTATTGAGTGTATGCCTGTCAGCTTATGAGTGTATGTCTTGTGCCGATGGATGTCTCTCAGCACTATAACTGGTACAAACTACAGCGCTGTGGTTTGTTGCGATGCTAGTGGATGGTGTTGATGTATTGTAACTTCACACTGCCGGACAGGAGACGTCACTTCACTGTGATCCTGTGTAGACAGGATGCTGGTATTCAAAGGTAGAAGATTCGTAGAGTAAGTAAAATGAGGTGGTCGGAAGCCAGCTAAATGTGAGAAGGACTGGGATGGAAATTATTGCTTACATGTGGGCCCGCGGCTAGTAGAAATTACCTCTGGCTAATAACATTTATCTTCGGCCAATAAAGTTTACCTCCAGCTAATAAAATTATGGTTGGACTAGCCTGTAGGGCCTGTAAGTCTTGCTCATGCTGAAAGTTATCAATCGCCCTCGACATTTGGCACAACCTTTGAAATCTTTGAAGATTGAAATTTGAAAGTCTTATTATACGAGGACTGGTAGCTCTTTTCAGCGCGAGCAGAAAACAAATACAACTGGCATTGTGGTCTTGTTTGTTTTTTTAGTTAATTTCCATCCCTCAGGTCGCTATGTTGCTGAAAGAATGCCGATGCGACATATAATTTAACTCACTCACTCCATCCCAGAGCGGACATTGTATGATCTGTACGTTTTTCTTCAAGGCATGTGGACATTTTTTTTATGTCAATTTTATTAAGTATTAGAGACCCAGTGTTTTGATTTAGTTTTAAACATGTTCACGTTCTTGATCATCACTGGGCCAAACATGTTCACGTTCTTGATCATCACTGGGCCAAACATGTTCACGTTCTTGATCATCACTGGGCCAAACATGTTCACATTCTTGATCATCACTGGGCCAAACATGTTAACGTTCTTGATCATCACTGGGCCATGTGGTGACAGCCTAACCCTCACCCACATGTAAACTGCTACATTCTGTTTGTAGCCAATAATGTCTTGCCTGTTGTGCTCCGGCAACAGTTGAAATATCTGTGATTCCCAAGGACCAGAATTACACTGAGCATTGTTCATATTGTCTTACATCAAATCCAACTTGCAGCACTTGTGCCAATGTTATATGCATCATTGTCCAGTGTTGCTTGATTCATACAAATACTTGGCGAGAAAGATGAGTTTGTCCGTTGTGACGTCTCTGGCTCATTCCCTGCCCTTGTATGACCTTCTAATACACTATTTCTGAAGCATTCAGGTGAGCTTCAGAACCTTGGGACTGTTGCACAGGTGACACTTCCTTCTTGGTGACACAGTCCCAGCATTCCCATAACAACTGTAAGGAGGAAATGAGCACCTCATTCTATATCTTGTTCAGTCCCTGCTATTAAATACAATTAAAGACACCGGTGACTACCTAGTTGGGGAGCTTGTAGTCTTGTAGTGTAGTGTGCATTGCGTGTGGGAGCCCTGATTTCGAGAATTAACACTGCCGGTGTAAAAATAATGCCCAAGCTCATTGCTCTGTGTATTATGTATTGGAGAAAACACGCTCACGAGGTTTTGGGGAGAGGGAAAAACCAAGGGGGCGAAGCCCCCGCGGTTTTTCCCAACCCCCAGGGCATGATCTGTCTACCAAAACCGAGGGTCAGTGTTTTTCCATGCTTATAAACCGAAAAAAGAAACTTAAAACAACATTTATCAACATTTTTATGTTTCGAACATACTTTCCATGAACCTTAGGAAACGCGCTAAAATATCTGTTGCTGGCGTACAGATCTTGAAAAGGACATTCTAAAAACCAGTGAGGCTTATCAACTGTAGCCTCATGGTACACTCACTGGGCTACAGATATGAAGGTTGCGAGTTCGATCCTCGGGAATTGAAGAAAACATTTGTCATTTGATTTTACATTTCATTACATGTTACAATCTGAACGGAAGTTATATTAATAAAATACCCAGGACATTATATAAAATCCCAGGGACATAACAACGTTCCTGTTTATGAGATTTAACCCGACTGGAAAGTAAAACCTCACAATAGGTCTTAATGCCTATAGAAAGAAGTCTCTTACTTAATAGTGATCCCAATAAATAGGTTTATAAGTATAAATTAACACTGCCTGATGTACGAATGTTTTGCAGACTGATTGCACTTTGGTATGCCATATGATTTAACACTGCCTGATGTACGAATGTTTCACGGAGAGATTGCACTCTAGTATGCCATATGATTTAACACTGCCTGATGTACAAATGTTTCACAGACTGATTGCACATTAGTGTGCCATATGATTTAACACTGCCTGATGTACGAATGTTTCATGGACCGATTGCACTTTAGTATGCCATATGAATTAACACTGCCTTATGTACAAATGTTTCACAGACTGATTGCACTTTTGTACAACATATGAATTAACACATCTTCCCGAGGCAAGAGAGTTAACTGACTTTAAAAGTCCAGTTTCCACCCTTCCCGAACTGGGCTGGAATTCCTGGACTCGATCGAAGTGCCACTGGGGCTGTTACGACTTATGTCCCTTCTATGCCTCTCCTATGGACCAATCAGATTCCACCTCGTATCACTTGCATTTGCTTTAAACAAAATGGCAGCACTCGGTCAAGACGATATGATCGATATCAAGATCTATAAAAACTACATCTTACATTGCGAAGTGCATCAAATTATGTGAGCACCTTGATTAAAAACATGAAAAGATTTAGAAAATATCTGTTGACAACGAGTTGGCGGTGCACTTGCTTTGCAAATCCTGCAATCGACCGAAATCTGCATGACATTTTACGAACCAGATTTCGATTTCAATGCGCACTTTTGATTGGACTATGCATAGACTCGTTAGGCCAGCCAAAATGTAACTCCATTATACCAGCCTAGTTCGGCAAGGGTGGAAACTGGACTTTTATAGTCAGTTAACTCCCTTTCCTAGGGAAGATGGAATTTACACTACTTGATGCAAGTATGATACACAGCCCAAATATAATCAGACATGTTGTACACTGCCTCAAGAAATTCTCCAGTTTAGTCTTCGTCACAATGTAGCTAGTCCCCACCTTTGTTACTTGTTCCTCGCTCCTGGAATCTCTAGTCTTCGACAGATGTTTATTGGCCGTGTGTTCCTGGGATGTTTCACCCGAATTGATGAAGCTTTTGTTATATCTGAGCAAGGTATTATATAGTTTCTAAGTTCTTGCATCATCAAGTGCTAGGCCTTCCTTTGTTTTACTTGAGTGGTAATCTCCGAGAATGATGGAGGAATAGTCTCCATGTTGTCATGGCAACTACATATGCTCCATGTTACAGCCGACGATCTTTGTTCTGTTGGAGTCAGTATCTTCTCCCCAACCTGTGAACAATGGACACTTAACAATCCAAGATACTGTTTCTATGCACATTCACCATCATGACCGTATTCTACAGCAGGACAAGAGTCGGAAAAAGACTTGTAAGAAGATTTACTGATTTTGTAATTTCTTTGTCGAGAGCCCTATAATTTTAACTATTTCATCAATTGCGCAGGGCTTGTAAAGCATCTATGGTTCCGATACTGTCACAACTAGGCTGGAAAGGTTTAAGTATGGCTGCTCTTGCTACTGTCTGTCTACTGCGATCCAGTTTTGACTGCACAATAACCATGATAACAACAAGATTATCTTGCAGCTTTCTTCACAAGATCACACCCATCTGCATTTTGTTGAATTTGCAAGTTATTTGTTTTTGATAAGACACATTCTCCACATATTCGGGTGAAACATTGTAATTCTTGCCTGGTGTTGAATTATTTGCCAACACCCTTGTCCTCTGCAAAGCTTTGGGAAGTATTCGGGGGTGTCTTTCTTAAGAAATCAAAATGAGATGCTACAATAAGATAACCACTTTCGTTCTGTACTGAACAGATTTAAGAATTAGTCACTGCTTTTTTTTTAAACCCGACTGTCTCACCATAGGTTCTGTCTTTTCCCGGTGTTAGTTCTGATGGCCGAGGAGGCTTTTCGCATGCATTATCTTATACAGAAATATTTTGTCTGCACACACGATAACCAAGATGTTAGTGCACTGACCAGCCAGGGTCACTGATGGTATAAGATTGTTTTTATGAGATTGTGATAAGTGTCTTTATTTATATTGTGAAAACACAGCTACGTATAATTATTGTTCAATTGTAATCTAGATTTTGAGGTTATTTTCTGTTTGACCTGTTCTGTTAGTCTTTGATGGAGGCTTTTCATGTTGCAGGAGTGTATCCTTTGTTCCAAATTTATCATAATTGTTTTACGTTCAAGCCCAACATGGTAATTACTTGATCTTAGAAAAGACTCCTAAAATTCATCATGGTGATGGTGTTTAGTGTAGGGGCAGGTAACTCTAGTTTCTACAGCACCACCATATCCAAACTGCTGAGTCAGCTAAACCCACCCGGGAGAAAAGCTTCTCTCCTGGATATGTATTCTTGAAAATACTACACTATCACAGCTACTGCTTGAAAAAGCTTATGACTCGGGGAAGAAAATGTATTTTCATGTTTTCAAAAGAATTCATGTTGTCATTTCCAAAGCAAATTTCCCAACTCTTGGCAGTAGAAATATGACGAACATGAGTTAATGTGTTATGGCCTTACTTTCTCCTTGTTTTGTTTTCAAAGATTTTTAGTTGACACTTCGTAGTGTTTGCTGTCGTGTGTATCAGTTCTTGCTGTTATGTTATACCCTGCTGTCGTGTGTATCAGTTCTTGCTGTTATGTTATACCCTACTGTTGTGTGTATCAGTTCTTGCTGTTATGTTATACCCTGCTGTCGTGTGTATCAGTTCTTGCTGTTATGTTATACCCTGCTGTCGTGTGTATCAGTTAATTGCTGTTATGTAATAATCTGCTGTTGTGTGTATCATTTAGTTGCTGTTATTTTATTATCTGCTGTTGTTTATCAGTTAATCGCTGTTGTTTGTTGCTGTTCTGTCCCATCTTGACCAAACTATATGTTTTGTTTAAGCATATCAAATGTCATAATTAATATGTAATGCCAGGCGTCAAATGGTCTCTAGAGAATAATTGTTTTCATTGAAGTTGAAGCAACAAAACAGTATTTTAGAGCAACATTGTATTCTTTGCATGTATTATATTGTTATTATAAAGCAGCATTAATTCATTAGCTAGGATAGACTTCATATCATGAAGATGGAAGTAACATCAGTATACCGACTGACTGATGTGCAATCATTTCAACAGTTTGGGGAACAATACATATTGATATATTCTCACCGCCAAAAGAAACCTGAATACCGTACATGGTGGTTAATATATGAAGATTTACTCATATTCAACAGATATCAGATTTGGTTCGATGCACAAGCGAACATATTGGTATGTTGTGTGAACCGATTCTCATGAACAGATCACATGTAACATCATAGATAGGGCACATACTTCTCTATATGTTTCTATGGTTAGCGTTTCTTTTGGACGTGAGTTTAGAATAAGGCATATCATGAGCCGTGTTGTTTAGTCTTTGATCACAGTCCACCGATCCATTGTAGGTAGTGTAGTTGGATCTCCATGTGGACCTCCTCAGTAGGATCCACACACCAGCATAAGTCAATGTAGTACCAGGTCCCTGATGTAAAGACTCCTTGACATGTTTTGGGGGAAAGAATTTGTTCCAGAAAATACTGAACAAAGCTTATTTGCCTTTGAGTTTTACAAGTTGGATGTATTAAAACTTATCGTTTTGTAGGTAATTTCTTTTGGGATGGGTTGAGGGGGTGGGTGGAATTATTGTCTTGCAGCATTACCCCATAACAAATTTGGTCTCAAAGAATAATCCCCGGTCAGCCCCTTTTGACTTAGCCCTTACCTACACTGTCGTCAGTGCATGTTTGTGTATGAACACACTCACAGAAAGACACCAACACTCACCACGGCCTGGTCACAGGGAGCCATCCAGGGTGTAGGAGACTTGTTTCATGTCTTTCTGTGAGCTTCAAATACTTAACGAGCTACCATTGTTTGATTTAGCATGGGAGGAGATATTATGACACACTGAAAAAACAATTTTTAGGTTCCTTTACATGTAGATCTTGTAGTTATTAATTGTTTCAGATAAATCAAAAAGTAAATGAAAAGTGTTTGAAATGTTTTCAATTTGTGTAGGCTGTTCACACCTCAATGCAAACTAGGTTATAAGTATCCTGTCAGTAACCAGCCTCTTACCACAGAGCCTAGATACATGACTATATTGCAAGCAAGCACCTGCTGGTTCACTGTCTGTGATTCTGTGGTTGGGGTAACATCAAGATGTTTTTTATTCAGGTGATGGAAGAATAAGGATTGTTGGGGAAAAGGTTTGTTATCTTCAGACTGCTCGCTTAGCCATATTTGATGACCTGTGGCCTGCTTGTCTCACAGTGTAACAGTGATGGCAGAATGGCAGCTGCAAATAAATATATTTCATATCACACTTGTGGTTTTGTTATTTTATGTTGCAACTTGGATTGATGGCAACCATTCTGTTCACTGGTGGATACTAGCACTAGTTAATGTGTACCAGCCGTGATTTTTAAAGACTACTCTTGTTTGCCTGTTACTGTTCATCATGTGCCATACAAAGAAGATGTGATTACTCATATGTCATTTTGATAAGACCTTGATTGAGTATTGTTTTGAAGACTACACCATTTCACGCCAAACATTGACTTAGGTTCATCCAAAGATGGTGTCACATGATGCATGTCTACAGAAAGGACACATTGGTGAGTCCACATACCCCATTTTATACAGGAAATAAGTGAGTGGGGTAGTGAGTATGGTTTTACACCGCTTTTAGCTATATTCCAGCAATATCACGGCAGGGGACACCAGAAATAGGCTTCACACATTGTACCCATGTCGGGATTCAAACCCGGGACTTTGGCTTGAAAAGCGAACGCTTTAACCACTAGGCTACCCGACTGTCTCTACAGGAAATAGGAAATACTGAGAAATAAACTGTTATGAAACATACATATGATTGTCTGTATTTGCAAGATCATCATGTAGATATATGATGAATGGTGATGTATGTTAGATGTGTTTTTCCAAAGACTATATTCCTAAAAATAAAACCTTTTGAAATTTACATCAAATATATTTAAGAATTAACTTTCACGTTGTGTCAGTTTACTGGAGTGTGAACCTTCGTAGTGTCAGGGCCAAACTGTAGGAATGATTGTATGCTGAAATTGCATTTCAGTAAACACTGTTCCATGGGAAAAAATCCCTTTGAGAAAGACAGTACAAAGGAACAATTTCACTACAGGAACAGGGGGCACGGGTGGCCCAGTCGTCTGGCGCGATTCGCTGTGAAGAGTTGCGTCCCGTGGACACGCCAGAAACCTATGATTGTGGGTTCGAATCCCGGTTCGCCCTGATTATGTTTCTAGGTTTGTCAGCACCATACCCGTGCTCGTGGGTTTCACCGAAGTGATAAACGTCTGAGACCTGTATCACTTCGGGCTTTCCACCCACATTAAGCTGACACGCCACGATATAACTGGAATACTGTTAAAAGCGGCTTTAAACACAACTCACTCACTCACTCACTACAGGAACAGATACTCTTTAACAATGATACTATCACGTGTATACGCTTTGTATGACAACGCTTATGTCCAATATATTAAACACTAAACCAAATTATTACACATATCTCCAAAGTTCTGTTTGTGGACAAAATAATAAATACACTGACGGCCAAAAGAAACTCTTATAATTTTGAATCACTCTGATTTAAAACCTACAAATCACCACAGAAATACAACGACTGACAGCCGAAAAAAGTGATGGGGCCCTGCATCCGTATGATACAGATGTAAGCCATCCATGCCCACATCGCTAGAACTTTTGGTTGCTTTTGGTTTGTATCAGGTTTCACCCTGATTATGTTCCTGCATTTGCAAGCGCCATGCCCTTGCTCGTGGGTTTCACCAAAGCGGAAACGTCTGAGAACTGCATCACTTCGGGCTTTCCTCCGACATTGAGCTGACACGCCATGAAAAAACTGGAATAATGTTGAAAGCTGCATTAAACCCGACTCACTCACTCATCGTTACCAAATTGCATGGATCGATGCTCATGATGTCAATCACTGGATTGACTCGATTGTTTACAGACCGCCGTCATATAGCTGGAATATTGTCGAATGCGGCGTTAAACAACAAACAAACAACATCATCAAATTGTTAATATCGAGCTGACATCTTAGAGTCTTAGCATCCTAGTGCTAGATTGTCAAATGGTTTGGGAAGAATTGTCTGCAGGAAACAGAACGGTAGGGTACCAACTATCTGGTGATAATTTGTGCAGTAAAATGTTCTGCCCTTAGCGAGGGCCACCGTTCGGTGAGTACCTTGTGGTCTGTGGTGTGATAATCGCAGTTACGTCCCTTGGATTGCGTTTCCCGCCGAGGGATCGGCGCTACCGGGCTTGTGTAGGAAGCGTCCATATAAACATGAAGCGTTCAGAAATAAATATCCCGCAGATGCGACCTTAGTCGTGCGATTAACATAAATGTCTAGTTTCATTTAGTTTAATTAGTGAAGAGAAGGTGATTTTAGATAAGTTTCTACCCGGTGAATCTATAACGAAGCCGACTTTCAACGAATTATAAAGTTAGAAAGTTGACCTTTATATATGTTCTCAAAGTTTAAGTAGCGTTTCAAAGAATGAGTATAATGATGAACAACTGCTGTAGAATCAGGCACCGAAATATGTTTATTATTTTTGGACACGAACTACGCGCGGCAGGAACAAAAATGCACAATGTCAGATATCCTAGAAATAAACAAAGTAGTGTTGTCAATATTCAAGACAATGTCTTTAGAATTACTACATATAACCTGTCGGAGAAAAGGAAGCATACACTTGAAAATTGGATTTGGCACAAACACAACAAACGTCATCAAAACATAATAGGCTGGATACTGTCGCCGAAACACTGCAAACTTAAGGTCGAAAACACAACTATGATTCCCGCATCAAATACATCACCATCAAATATTAGATTTCTTGTTTGCTTAAAGGGCAAGTTCACACGGAAATGAACCTAATTTTCTTGTACTTTTTCCACAACAAAAGTGTTAACCTAGAAGTGTCATAGACAAAAATATAAAAATATCACAATTAATCAACATATGTTTTGCATTAAAACGATTTATATTTTTCACATTTACCAAGTGTTCTATTTCCATAACAAAAACACCATGGCTTATGCCCCTTGCAATATGACGTCATTGGTGCCAATTGATAAACATTATGACGTCATCATGCTTTGTTAGAGCCGCTTCACGTGGTGTAGGTACAGGTGTGTCATTCTAGCGTCTCAGATGCCAGCCAGCATAGTGTTATGCTGAGTCACCACTGCGCCGGAGTGTGTCGTAGGCCATGTTGTTTTACCGAAAACTTGTACTTGATATCTTTTGCGTTCAGAATAGACAGGGACCCAGTTGAATTGGCACCAATTACGTCATAATCTAAGGGAGATAACTCAGGCCTGTTTAGCTCGAAAAACGAAGGCCTCATAACGGCATATCATTTTCACACTATTGTGAGCTTCCTACTTTCACTGTGAAAAAAATGAGTGTATATTTTCAAACACAGATACTAACTAATTCTAAAATTGCGTTTTGTTTAGAAAAAGAAAGAAAGTAATTTTTGCGTGTACACTTCCCCTTTAATTGTTAGCCACCATCCAACATGGGCGTATACTCCCCCATACCCGGCTGTTTATTAGTGATGCATTGAGCAGTTAATACTCCCTTGGTTCCAGAAACAAGAAAGGTATTCTTTAACCAAAAATGGTCGTAAAAGATATTCATAAGAAATTATGTCACCCCGTTTTTTATGCACACTAAACACCTTATGCTTCTGTTTTTTAATGTTTAGTGTCCGTTTTCACCATTTTCTAGTAGAAGCGGTTTCTCAGGACGTGTATCGGTGCACGGGCTCAGTGTAGTCATGGGAATGCCCTCAGAGTATACGATGGTACCAGATGCCGGGACTGAACTGGTTGCCCCGGGAGATGCCGTGAGTGAGACCCCACCTGGGTGGTTGGGACTTGGTCCAGACAGACCACCTTGGACACAGAACCCCTGGTCCTGCTCCCGAAATACCCGGAAGAGACTGTGAGCAAGTCCAGCCGCTACCACCTCGCTGGAGTTCCGGGAGATCAACGTCAGCATCAGAACACCGTCAAGTCCAAGGAAGCTGCTGATGAAGCGTGATATAGCGGGGTCTTTTGGGTGACATCCAGTGAAGGCAGCGATGTGGACAGAGATCCTGCTGTTTCTGAAGAACGACAGGAAGAGATAGGCGAGCCACACAAGGAGATTGATGGACGTGAGAACCGCGAGGAATGAGACCCAGAACCACAGGAAGACAAACATCTTTTCATAGATTTCGTTGATTTGCAGCCTGCATTCTGTTTCCAGTATGATGGTGTTCTGTACTCTAGGGACCGTGTATCTACAGCGAACGCTTCTTGAAAGAAAGGGATTTACCGAAGTGAATACGTCAGGAGGTCTCGGCTTAAACGATAACACGGGACTAAAATATACAGTGAGAAATACGAATTGTCCGACAAGGTTGACTAGGGATAGTCCCTTGACAAAGATGTAGAACACGCCTTGGATGAACCTGTTGCTTCTGAGGATGCTGCTGTAGACTACCGCAGTGTCTCTGAGTGTTGATCGGCGAACCTCTTCCTTGGCTAGTTGAACCTTCTCCAGACAGGCCACCGTCTCGTTAATGTTGATTGAAAACACTCCCCTGGAAGCACTCCATATGGCACCAGGAATCTTGAAGCAAAGGGCCTGGACTAGCAGGATCAGGGGTACCCAGAGGTGATACGACACCAGCTTGTGCATGTCGGGATTCATCCCCTCGACGAACAATTTGTCCTCTGAGGTGAAGCAAACATCCTCGCCATACTCCTTGTTTTGATTAGACAAGCAGTTGATGGGGTTGACGAACCTGACGACGAATGCACCGAGTGCGCAGCTGGCCAACAACAGCACTGACCAGAAGCCATTGACAGAGTCCACCCAGTCCCAGTCAACACCGCGGCCCAACCATGATCCAGCCATCTCCCTGGAACAGAGACACATTATTTTAATAGCTTGTATACTACTCCAACAAGTTAAAGAACACCTACAATTGGAAGTCCCTGTGTTGCCATGACAGACTAACTAGTCATATGAAAAGATCGTGTGTTCCTTAACTTCTTTTGAGTAGTATATATAAATGAAACCTTCAGAGTCTTCCTTGCTGAGGTCGCGGTATAATCGTGGCCCAGTCGTCTAAAGCCCAGCAGAGCAGTTTAATACACCCCAATGCGGACAGATTTAAGTGGGGTTTAGTACACCCCAATGCGGACAGATTTAAGTGGGGTTTAGCACACCACAATGAGGACAGATTTAAGTGAGGTTTAGCACACCACAATGAGGACAGATTTAAGCGGGGTTTAGCACACCACAATGCGGACAGATTGAAGTGGGGTTTAATACACCCCAGTGCCGACAGATTTAAGTGGGGTTTAGCACACCACAATGAGGACAGATTTAAGTGGGGTTTAGCACACCACAATGAGGACAGATTTAAGAGGGGTTTAGCACACCACAATGAGGACAGATTTAAGCGGGGTTTAGCACACCACAATGAGGACAGATTTAAGTGGGGTTTAGTACACCCCAATGCGGACAGATTTAAGTGGGGTTTAGCACACCACAATGAGGACAGATTTAAGCGGGGTTTAGTACACCCAATGCAGACAGATTTAAGTGGGGTTTAGCACACCACAATGCGGACAGATTTTAGCGGGGTTTAGTACACCACAATGAGGACAGATTTAAGTGGGGTTTAATACACCCCAATGCGGACAGATTTAAGTGGGGTTTAGCACACCACAATGAGGACAGATTTAAGTGGGGTTTAGCACACCACAATGAGGACAGACTTAAGAGGGGTTTAGCACACCACAATGAGGACAGATTTAAGCGGGGTTTAGCACACCACAATGAGGACAGATTTAAGTGGGGTTTAGTACACCCCAATGCGGACAGATTTAAGTGGGGTTTAGCACACCACAATGAGGACAGATTTAAGCGGGGTTTAGTACACCCAATGCAGACAGATTTAAGAGGGGTTTAGCACACCACAATGCGGACAGATTTTAGCGGGGTTTAGTACACCACAATGAGGACAGATTTAAGTGGGGTTTAATACACCCCAATGCGGACAGATTTAAGTGGGGTTTAGCACACCACAATGAGGACAGATTTAAGTGGGGTTTAGCACACCACAATGAGGACAGACTTAAGAGGGGTTTAGCACACCACAATGAGGACAGATTTAAGCGGGGTTTAGCACACCACAATGAGGACAGATTTAAGTGGGGTTTAGTACACCCCAATGCGGACAGATTTAAGTGGGGTTTAGCACACCACAATGAGGACAGATTTAAGCGGGGTTTAGTACACCCAATGCAGACAGATTTAAGTGGGGTTTAGCACACCACAATGCGGACAGATTTTAGCGGGGTTTAGTACACCCCAATGCGGAGAGATTAAAGCGGATTTAGTACACAATGCGGACAGCTTTAAGTCGGGCTTAATTACAGGACAAAAGCAGATTGCAAAAGTCGTGTTTACGTATGGGATAGGATGGGCAGTTTGAGGTCAGGATTGTAATTCACGCTGATAGCGGACAACTACAACGTAGGGTTTAGAACACAATATGACGGACAGGTTTATGAACAATTTAATCGTCGAAAAAGAAATGAGAAAAGAATTGCTCGTAGTTTATTATAATCTATTGAAGTTTTGTATCTGTTTTGCATTCTAAACATATCCAGCGGCCGCACTAAGTCTCATATAAGAATAATAACCCATTGCAGTATTTAATATTCAAATGCATAATTATTCACCTGATTATATGGATAAACATCTTCAAACGACCGCACCGTGAACAGACACAGGAAACTGTCTTTGTGACAAGCGCATACGTTGGGAAAGACGGCAACGGTACGTAGTTTTATGACGTGTTATGATTGAATATAACATTTTGGTAAGTAAGGATAAGATTATGGATGAACAACTTAAGAGCGACGTTTCGGATGTAGGTTCGAATTCTAACACCGTTACCAGAGTCCAACCGTCGATCAACCGTGACCAAGGCTATTGCATACCTCCAGCGTACCACCAACTCATCAAAGACCCCAATCAGCCATAATCCTGTTGGTCATATTACTGGCTTCACCCTTTGGTTTCTGTTACTGACTTCGCCGATACTTATCTTTACTACCGTTTTGTGTACATAACAGGCTTCTCCACTCCAGTATAACTACATCTGATAACTACTCTACTGTATAAACAGTGCCTCCTACCTGTATATATACTTGTCAACCATACTCTGTATATCACTTGCTTGATAACGGTGTTAGAACCTACACCGAAACGTCGCTCTTAATTGTAATAAAGAAGTTGTTCATCCATAAATCCTATCCTTACTTAGTATTCCAACTTCTAAATGCCTATCAAAGAAGTTAAAAACATTTTGGTAGTTGCATTTTGACTTCACCATATATATATATATATATATATATATATATATATATATATATATATATATATATATATATATATATATATTTATATATACATTAGTTTTAATGCTCATTCCTTCTATTTGAAGAAGTTCGATAAAAGCGCGCAGACCTCTGTAGGCGAGGAAACTAGCCAACGAAACATGTTCGTGAAAGAGAAAGGTATTTTTTCTATCTCACTGTCACACATCAAAGGTGTATTTTGTTCAGTTAAAAGAAGCATGTACATGTATATAAGTATAACATGTTTATAGTTACACCATACATAATAACCATGTCCATACGTCTCCGTGGTCTAGTGGTAGAGCCTCCGCCCGCGTCATACCAAAAGACGTTAAAAGATAGTATTTGTTGTTACCCTGCCAGGCGCTCTGCATTAAGGGGCTAAAACAAGGACTTGTCGGCTCGGAGTCAGTAGACTGTGTCTGAGTGGGGTTTTCGTGTAAAACTGCGACATGGTATCCCAGTGGGCTAGCACTATAAATCGGCATTATTCCGGACTAGTACAAGCAGCCACACAGACGCGTGCATGCACGTCGCTATATAAGTGCAATGATCTTGGACGCGACGTCAAACCCCATTTCACCTCACCTCACTAGTTGTCTGTATGTGGCAAGCGACAGTGACGGCCGGATATGTCGACACTCATAGGGCAGATGGCGGCCCACCGAGTCGAGTGTCGACATATCCTTCATAAACATCCGGACAATGACGGAATGGAGGTATTTGAACATCTTGAGATACACAATTATATTTGTTTCGAAATACAAGTATGTATTTGGACAGTGAGTAAGATAAAATTTAACGTCACATCGGCAATATTTCAGCCATGTCGTGACGAGACGAAATTATACATTGATAAGATATATATTTAGATGGAATAAAAACCTGTCATCGATGGACAGTACAATTACTAGATTATCACAGTTTCGATTGTAAAACTAGTTGAAGAGAAGAAATGATCATTCAACAATACAATATCAAAATGGGCGATAGATTACCAGCAACCAAAGTCAGGCCACCATACTGGGGACCGTGGGGACTTACGATACTTCTGCTACCTGCACGGTTCCCCAGCAAGATTTACACCATCCCTTCAGCAGCTGGTGATGGTACGCAACGTAGCCATCAGTTAAAATAGTGAATGAGTGAGTGAGTGAGGTTTTACGCCGCTTTTAGCAATTTTCAAGCAATGTCACGGCGGGGGACACCACAAATGGGCTTCACACATTGTACCCATGTCGGGAATCGAACCCGGGTCTTCGGCGTGACGAGCGAACGCTTTAACCACTAGGCTACCCGACCGCCCCTCAGTCAAAATAAACAAGCATACTACGTTTAAAACTGTGGTATGATTAAGCGTACTTTGAATGATGTGGGCTTACATATCCTCAAAGGGGGACAATCATTTTACGCTACTTCAACTCCCCTTGAGGATACAGACACTAACAATCTAAGTTACAAATTAAGCATTACCAATATTATAACAAATAACAATCTACACAATTCAAAATCTATCAATAAGTTCGATTTATATTAAAAAAACCTGTAATTAAATGAAAACTAAATACTATTATAAAGATGATGATTTGAAATATTTATCCCTTGTGATGGAAAAATCGACAGTCAAGCAGGACATGCTTCACGGTGATTCTTTCATCACAAGGGATACAGAATGGAGGATCCTCCCCTTTCAATACATATTTATGAGTGTAGCGAGAATGGCCAATACAACATCGTCTTAAAATGACCTCTTAAATCTGGACTGACTACCCAAGTAGGTGTACCCGATAGTTGGTTTTATTGCATGAATTTTATTTATACCTACCTTGTTGTCCCACTTCTTATGCATTAGTTCTTCTTTTTTTTTTAAACAACAAAAAACTTTTTTATTGTTCCCAGAGTTGTAGATTAATACAGTATTCCGTCAAAGACATATTTCGGATTGCATTGAATGGCAAAATATACTCTTTAAAATATTAAAGGGTTGGAAACAAACATTGTCCTATTTCAAACCCAAATGGTTGAAACACACAGTCAGACTCAGACATAGCATGTATCAACAGGGAGCTATGAATCAAATGCTGAAGATAAAGGTGACCATTTTTTGTTAAAGTTATTTTAAATGATTTGCATAAGTTCTTTATTCACTTTAAGCACTGTTTGGGATAAAGCGTCGTTTCACAAATTTGTTGAGTGCTGCTTTTGTAGCAGCATCAGCCATTGTGGTACCAACTATTCCAACATGGCTGGGTCGCCAACAACATACGATGTCATATTGGCCAGTAGTAAGATTATTATGTAATTGAATGCTGTCAAGTAAAATTGGATGCTGACAGGAAACGTCTTTTATTGCCAGAAGACGGGAAAAAGAGTCTGATAAAATAATGAGACGCTTATGGTTCGACGTTTATATATTCTAGTCCAGATAAAATGGCATTTGATTCGGCTGTAAATATGGAAGAGCTATCTGGTAATCGAGTTGATAAAGGTCTGGATCCAATGATGGTGGCACTAGTATAGACTAGCATCTAGTCTCTGAAATGAACATATCGTACAGAAAAAACAGTTGTTCATTTATCTTAATAAAAATATAATAAAAAGGGAGCCAAGTGATTCTCTTCATTTTCAGACTAGCACTAGTATACTAATCATAAATCAAAAAAATTATTGAAGTATCATCCCCCCCCCCCCCCCCCCCCCCCCGAATATCAAATGGTCGGTCTATAAACACATGCGATTATTTCATATGACTATAGTTAATCTGTCTTGGCCACGATTAACTCTTATCACATATAAAATCGAGTGTTCTTTAACTTCTTTTGTGTAGTATATTTGCAAATTGAAGTTACACGTAGCCTTTTGTCCAAAAGATCGAGATTAACTTAACAGAAACAAATACAATCCTTAGCACAATCTTATAAGAAACCTATATCAAGTTCCGACACTTCAAACTTACTGCAACTCTCTCGTCGTTTCGAGATGTATAATGATACTTACACGTTTCAAGGTTGTGGACATACGACGTTGTGCTGGGTCAAGGGAGGGGGCGAAGTTTACCGACTGCAGATTTCCAGCGCTCCTCTTATACTCCTCCCAGCTCCATTTCCTCGTACGTCCGGTCTTGCGGAGACATATGACGCAGATGAACCAGCACGGATATCTGCACATAGTAAACAAATGTAACTTACATGTGAACACGATTTGGTTCCATGTAAACACATTAACAATGTACATAAACATCGTCCTTTTCAGGGTTCACTACATTTTTAATTTCATCCTGATATTTTTCCCGGTTCAGACGGAATAAAACATGCTTACTATACCACCACTAGGCAACAAGCATGGCCGCAATATGGCCTCAATCCATCTCATGTCCAAACAGATTGCCTAATTACTGTCTACGACAAATCTTCTTTGCTTGTTTGTTTGTTGTTTGATGCCGCACTCAGAACGCGTTCCAGCAATATTACGGCTGCCCGTAAATAATTGAACTTGGACCAGACAATCCAGTGATTGGTATTTTGAACAACGATCTGTGTGGGTCAGTGAGTCAGTCAACCCAGACACCGAGACTGACCATCCCATCCATCTCTTTCGACAAGCACAGGTTGCTGGGGACCAATTCTTACCTGGACTACTCACGGATGTGGTACTATCTTGAAGTCCGACATGTATGATACCATATTAAGACTTACACCATCGCGATGCAGGTGCACGTTGTTAAACCACATGTATGCAATATTTATCTGGACGTTATGGGTGTTTTTTTTCTTTCTTGACAATCGTATGTGTACCTGTTATACGTGATATCGACGCAGTTTAAATCATTCCACAGTGGCAGCTTTGTGCGTACAGAAGGCTCGGTCCGCATCACGTGCTCAACGTTTGAGGTCCGCGATTCGTTGTGCAGAGTTGCGTCCCTTGGACACGCCAGAAACCTATGATTGTAGGTTCGAATCCCAGTTCGCACTGATTATAATTCGGTTTGTCAGCACCATACCCGTGTTGTTGGGTTTCACCGAAGTGGTAAACGTCGACCTGCATCACTTCGGGCTTTCCTTCCACATTGAGCTGACACGCCGCGATATAACGGGAATGCTGTTAAGATCGGCGTTAGGGCTCAGTCACACATTCAGGAGTTTTACTGCCGTCCTTGATAGGACCATTCCCGATTAAAATTTGTCAAAAGTCTGATCAAGATCCTGTCATTCGTGGCGGGAAATTCACAAAAAAAGCATTTATTTTATCACGACAACAATCAGGAATCAGCGTCCCGATTCAGCCGTTTTCAACCGAATTCATCACGATCCTCCCGTTCTCAATCTGAACCTGATCCGATTTGTATCTTCCGCATGGTAAAAAAACACCGAATCTGTCCCGACAGCGTCCCGATTCTCCCGATTGCGATCCGACAAAGACGGTTCGCATTCGACAAGATCTGGACGCAATCTGGACTCAATCGACAAGAAACGGCAATGAACAATTTCTCCAAATCAAGCCCGTTCATCACGACAGCGTCCCGATCCACAGGACATTGTTACGATTTTGATCCGATACATCAGAATCTGTCACGACATAGTCACGATTGTAATCCGACCAGACAAAATCGGCCGAGTTTCCCGAATGTTACGGGACGCAACATACTGTCGGGAGTGCTTGGCCGACCTCTCTGGACCTTTCGCGACCCGTAGGACTCTGTTACGAACGTACACGACTGCATTCAGACAATGATAGGACATTCCAGATCATTGAGGTTAGTAATCCGACTTTTTCACTTTTCGTGTCGTATTGCTGTCTGATCTCAATCGCTAGCAATAATCGGCACTGTGTGAACGCAGCCTTAAACCAAACTCACTCACTCACTCACTCACTATGATATATTGGGTTCACGTAGTAGTCTCAGTCATTCAGTATTCCCAAAGAGCTTCAATGTACCAGTGTACTTATATACAGAGGAAGAATGGATAGAAGATGACGGAGGACTAATGAGTAAGTAGTATGGACACTGTCGACACTGTCAGAAAACGGGAAAACATGTGCTTTCAATATAAAGGAGTCCTGGAATACAAAGTTTTTTTTGGAAGTTGAAAGTTAGTAGGTGGTAGCTTCAAGAAAATTTCTAAATTTTAAAACATTAATCATATTTAGATACATTACTAAACCGAAATGGCGTTTTATACAAAGTAGAACTGTAAATGTTTGAACTGTTGTAAATGGTGTCATTCCAATTGTGTTCGTAAGAAAACTTTAATCGAAATCTGAATTCTGAGATAAATGTAATAACGTTAGCGACAGATTGATGTTCTCAAATGTAACCAAAGTCTTTAGAGTAGAACAAGTGCTTAATCTTAGCTACCCAGTTGATATTTGATATTATTTGCGGCTACCTGCAATCTATATAACACAAGGTTATAGCGGCGTTATAGCGGTGGACTACAGTTCAGATGAACAACAGCTCGTGTAATGCAGTAACCTAATTTATCATTTAACTTAAGCATTTATCCATGACATAAGCTTATGACATAAAAACATGTATGTCATACCCCAATGACATAAGTATGCAAATTAGATATGCAAATTAGATATACGGAAGAGCGAGCGGTTTGATTTGAAACTATATATTATAAGTGAAGTTACACCAGAGATATAATCAGATTACACAGAATCGTTGTTGTTACCGTTATTAAAGTTTCAATTATTCTGCAAAAGTCTGTTCAAGTATTTTGTTTAAAATAATCCGAGGAACTTTTTTTTCTCAGCGAATTGTTTATTTTGGTTTACATGGCTATGGAAAACATGTATCACTACGCACGATCTATACGTAAGATTTCGACAAGTTGCTGATGTTAATGTTTAATGCAATTATTCCTTAATTTGGAAGCAAAAATGTGAAAATGATAAATAGAATTCATCACTCGTGTTTTTTAATATGGGAAATATCAACCTCGTTCCGTTAATCGGTATTTGCCTCGCCAAAGGCTCGGCAAATACCGATTAACTAAGACTCGGTTGATATTTCCCATATTAAAAAACACTCGTGATGACTCCTCTATATATGTCATGTGGTTTAACAACGTGCACTTGTATCGCGATGGTGTAAGTCTTAATATGGTATCATACATGTCGGACTTCAAGATAGTACTACATCCGTGAGTAGTCCAGGTAAGAATTGGTCCCCACCAACCTTTGCTTGTCGAAAGAGATGGATGGGGTGGTCAGACTCGGTGTCTGGGTTGACTGACTCACTGACCCACACAGGTCGCTGTTCAAAATACCAAACTTAGCCGACTTTGTCTCTAATATATGTCATCTTCCCGAGGCAAGGGAGTTAACTGACTGTAAAAGTCCATTTTTCACCCTTGCCAAACTAGGCTGGAATTTATGGGCTCAATCGTAACGCCATCAGTGGCTATTACGAGTTATGTCCCTTCTATGTCCCTTCTATTGATTCATCAGATTCCATCTCTCATATCACTTGCATTTGCCTCTAACAAAACGGCGGCTCACAGCTAAGACGATCTGATCGATAGTAAAGTTTGTAATAAAACGCGGGTCTTACTTTGCATCAAATCCCGTGAGCACATTGATTAAAAACATGAACAGATTTCGAAAATACATGTTGACGGTACACATACTTTGCAAATCCTGCAATCGACCGAAATCTGCACGGCAGTTTAAGAACCGGATGTCGATTTCGTTACGCGATTTTGATTGGACTATGCATAGACTGGTTAGTCCAGGCAAAAACTCCATAATTCCAGGTGGAAACTCGATTATTATAGTCAGTTAACTCCCTTACCTCGGGAAGATGAATATAATTATGTCGATCTTAACCAGGATTTGTTCATTTTAAAAGAGAACTGATTATGATGACCGAACTACTTGATAGTCTCCGGACAAGCTGTATGAGAAGATCTACGGATACCACCTTCTACGCGAACTTGGCAACAGACAGGGAGAAGGCGCCGACATGAGATGCTAGATCCGTGAAACCAAGTTCTGTTTCTTGTAAAAATTCTGACTAAACGAGATTCAAGCTGTTGCTGTCCTTGGACCTCTAGAACCGGAAGACGGTCCACCTGTCGACCACACTGAGTCTGTAAATGGAGTTGTTTGTCCTGGACCCCTGTACTGGAAGACGGTCCACCTGTCGACCACACTGAGTCTGTAAATGGAGTTGTTTGTCGGGACCCCAAGTACTGGAAGACGGTCCAATTGTCGACCACACCGAGTCTGTAAATGGAGTTGTTTGTCCTGGATCCCTGGTAGTGGAAGTCGATCCAATTGTCGACAACTCTAAGATGAAACAAAACCTTAGACCTTTAACTTTTGAAAGAGATATCCCTTATGCACACACACGATCATTTCAGATCTGAGGTTATAGGTTATGTTCCTCTGTCCAGATCCGGTGTCACGTGTACGTCATGAGGTATATCTCACTAAATAGATCCCGCAAGTCATAAGGTATATCTCACTAGACAGATCCCGCAATTCATAAGGTACATTCCACTTGACAGATCCCGCAAGTCATGAGGTATATCTCACTAGACAGATCCCGCAAGTCATAAGGTATATCCCACTAACTAGATCCCGCAATTCATAAGGTACATTCCACTTGACAGATCCCGCAAGTCATAAGGTATATTCCACTGGACAGATCCCGCAAGTCATAAGGTACATTCCACTAGACAGATCCCGCAAGTCGTAAAGTTTGACCAGGGATGAAGTCATGTCGTGCTGTTTGCGGGTCTGTTGGCAACCGTTTATTCGGAATGGTAGCCTTTCAACTTAAGCACATTAATCCATAACAGGACGAGACCGTCCACATACTTATGATGCCATTGAACAAGCGCAGTAATCAATGGTTACCAAAATCCCAACATTTTTATTGCAACCGACATACTGGACTCCCTAATTTTACTTTCCTATAACCTTACGGTATGGCCTATATACTGTTCTCCGTGTGACGCGACAACAATAGGCACACCAGGGACCAAAGCCTATCTCAATGCGATGATTGCATACAAACATTATTAGTGTAGAACACCAGGTCCAGTGCTATAATCATTAGCCTGCTAGTACACCGCAATTTGTTTGTCAAGGGGAGATATTTAAGTGAGAATATCGGTGTATCCAA